ATTGGAGGCCACATTTACACCTCAGGAAATATATAACATTACTAGTGTTACATGTAATAAAATCCTCAATAAAATATTCCTTTTTGTAACGCTAAATAAAAATCTTTCCCTTTTTTTTTAGAGATAATATTTGCTTCCCTCTTCTTTTCTGTACCCCATAACTTGTCTTTACGAAATAAAGAAAAACTGAAATAAAAAAAAAAAAAAAAAATATTTGTGCTCTTACAGGCTTTACACTGTCCATAATTGTGGAAACCCTTCAATTTAATACCAAATATTTCCACGATTGTGAGAGATTTATTTAATTATTTATTTTTTGTGTGAGGCTTTTCATCTGCATTTAGACCTGATAATCCGGTCACTTGTTCTCTGGGGACCCTGTGCCTCTTCTCTCTCCCTAACCTTGTTTACACTACCTTCCTGTCAGTCGGATACTAGGGGAACTGGAACTTAGATGCTAGCTAGTACTCCAGACAATTGATCCCCTGGGCACCGTTTAGTAGATCTCCCTTTTTTTCAAGTTATACTTTTTGTTTGCATATCCCTTTTTATCCTTAGATTGATTAAATGTAGGGCCTCCCTTCCTCATTTCTTATACAGTTGAGCTCTCCTGATGTTGGTTTCTCCTTGTGGGACTCTACACATCACCTACTCCTATTTACTAGTGCATTAAGTATATGAGTAATGTAGATGGTATAATATTTTAATATAATATTTTATATCTCTAACCCTTTTTTTTTTCTTTTCTCCTTTCTTCTTCTCTTATAATGATGTATTGTCCATGTATTTCTATGAATGAGGATCTATTTATACTAATGGGACTGTTAACATTTAGGATATGGATATTAGAAGTTAGAATTTCCCCATATAAGGTAACAGGGACTGTGTGGGACAATACTATACTACTCTATGAGAGTGTTTTGTCTGTTTATCTTTTCAGAAAGAAGCAGTGTTATTGTATTCACCTTCATACTAGAGGTTGATGCCTCTGAAACTGGGGTAGGGGCTGTTTGCTCTCAGAGGGAAAGTCAGGATACCCTCTTACATCCATGTGGATACTTCTCTAGAAAGTAGTTTCCTGCTGAGCATAATTATGATATTCGCAACAGGGAATTACTGGTCATTATACTAGCGCTTAAAGAGTGGCAACATCTTTTAAAAGGTTCCAAGGACCCCCTTTTGATCATTACTGACCACAAGAATTTGGCTTATATAGGGGATGCTAAACAACTATTTTCTAGACAGGCTAGATGGTCTTTGTTCCTATCTCACTTTAACTTTCTTATAACTTACAGACGTGGTCCCAAAAACGTGAAGGCGGACACTTTATCTAGACAGTTTGATACTGAATCAGTACAGGAACAAGAGACATCCCCTATTATTCCACCTGAGTGTATCATCACTTCCACTGTCCTTTCCTTGTCATCTCCTCTGCTTGGTGCTATCATGGAGGCTCAGTCTCAGGCGCCATGCAATAAACCACTGGATAAATGTATCCATTGGGTGAAAGAGAGAATGTCATGAGGGTGTTCCACAACAACGTGATTGCTGGACACCCAGGCATTAATAAATCCATACACCCGATCATGAGATCATTTCGGTGGGATTCTCTCAGGAAAGATGTTAAAGACTATGTGCAGGCCTGTTCAGTTTGTGCAGTTTCTAAAGTACCTCATAAACTTCCATGTGGATTGTTGCATCCACTTCCCGTACCTAGTGTTCCATGGTCCCATTTATCCAAGGATTTCATTGTGGAACTTACTAGTTCTAATGGCTATACCACGATCCTTATGGTGGTTGACTGCTTTTCTAAGATGGCTCATTTTGCTCCTCTCAAAAAATCGCCTTCCTCTCAAGACCTGGTTCTTATTTTCATACGAGAAATTGTCACACTGCATGGCATTCCTCACAATATTGTATCTGACAGAGGTTCTCAGTTTGTGTCTCGGTTTGGAGGGCTTTCAATAAACAGTTGGGCAATGAATTGCCGTTTTCTTCCTCTTACCATCCCAAACCAATGGCACGTCTGAGAGGGCTAACCAGTCTCTAGAATTGTATTTTCGTTGTTTTGTTAATAGCACTCAGGATAATTTGTCCGAATTACTACCCTGGGCTGAGTTTGCTAGGAACAATGCTAACCATGACTCTTCTGGTCATAGTCCATTCTTTGTTAATAACGTTCGTCATCCTACTGTTCTGCCGGCTGTTTTCTCTGACACAGCTATCCCTGCTTTGGATGATCACCTTGCTTCTATTCATGATACTTGGACCAAAGTTCACTCCGCTCTCGAAACTGCAGCTAATCATTTCAAATTTCATGCTGATAAACGGTGGGGTGCCAACCCTGTTTACCAAGTGGGTGAGAGGGTGTGGTTATCATCGCGCAACATCAATCTTAAAGTTCCTAGCATGAAGTTTGGTCCCAGATTCCTTGGTCCATTTCATATCCTTCGTAGAATTAATCCTGTTTCGTATTCTCTGGCTCTCCCTGCCTCATTGCGTATTCCTAACACTGTATGGGCCTGCCAAGCATTCTTGGGTTCCAACTTCTGACATTCATGCTGGCCACAAGAGTCGCTCTCTCCACGCCAAGTTTCTTGATGCTGATTGGCTGCTAAGTAATGATCATTTTAGGCAACTACTTAACAGCTAATCACCATCAACTCAAAAAATGAGATTTGAACTTTGAGTAAGTAGCATGTGATCTCCTGACTTCTACAAATTCATATAAAAAACACATACGTACAGAGCATGGGGGCATAAAACTTGTTTGGTGAGTAGCGCTCCAACTGTAACCCAAGCAATCAGTGTAAATTTGCAACAAGCTATTTTGGCTATTTTTTAAACACTTTTCTAGTAATCTGTTTCAACATACCTTGTACACATTTGGTTCAATTTCATTTATCTTCCATGGTTTCGTATTACTAGAATAGGAAAGGCTATTTAAAAAAAAAAAAAAGATAAAACTAGAGACAAAAAAATAACTGAATAAATATAGGAACATGTAGATCCCATAAAATGAATTCAAATATTTCAAAGATATTTTTAAAATATTTTAATGTGTGTATATATATCGTATATATATATATATATATATTTCCTCATAACTGCATTAATCATGGAAAATATGCTAATTTTAATGAATGTGTGAAGTCTGTTTCACATTTAAATATATTCATTTTCGCACCTTGTTCTTGAACAAGAGAGTGTAAATGATAGTTTTATGTAGAGAGAATGACTGTGAATGATTGCTAGAAAAGGTTACCCATAAATTGGATGGATGGATGTATATCTTGCAATCAGGCTTCCATTAAGTTATCTTTAATATTAAACGCATTGAGCCCTTTAATACCATGTCTGCATATTGTAACTTGCAGAATACACACCTAACATTTTTTGCCTAATTCCATTTTAAACATGGATTCCTTTAAGTTTGTGTTTGCTGTATACAACAGCTTTGAAATACAACTGGCTTTGCATCTTTTCCTAAGTTGTGTTTGAAAGCTGTTGTATACAACAAACACAAACTTAAAGGAATCCATGTTTAAAATGGAATTAGGCAAAAAATGTTAGGTGTGTATTCTGCAAGTTACAATATGCAGACATGGTATTAAAGGGCTCAATGCGTTTAATATAACTTAATGGAATGAGGCAAAAATGTGATTCTTTGTTAAACTAATTTGCATATGCCCATCCAGAATCCTTTGTGGTATTTCACTGCAAATTTGTGATTTCCGTGGGAAAAACAAGTCTTATGGCTTGACTGGTGTGCACATTTTTGTTTAACATTGTATTAACTATCCACAGACTTCAGATGGAAGGGGTTTTCAGTCATAATTTTTCCCCACCATAACCTTTTTGGATTTTGCTATATATTATATATGATTATATATGATTTTATATATAAATATATATATATATATATATAATATATATATAAATATCAAAAAAGAATGGCTGCTCACCGGACTTAAAAACAAAAAAATATTATTGAATAATGTTAAAAATCGACCAATGTTTCAGTCCCCATTCAGGACTTTCTTCAGGGTCTAAATAACAGGATGTGCGCGCGCACATACTTGCGTGCCCTGCCCACCGTGCCTACGACTGTACGTCTTGGCGTGGTGGATGTGTATTGCTCTCAATCACCATGGTGACCAAGTAAACAAAGCCCCCTCCGATGTACATCAGACTTAAAAGGACAAAAAAATGTGACATTGTATTAAATCAGCAGGCAAATGTCATACAAAGGTTTATTTTTATGGCATTTTGTATTTTTGGGGTTTTACCAACTATATATAACAATGTGGAACTGCATCCTTTATCATATACAAAAACTGAAAAAACCCTTGCACGCCAGGTATTTGCGCCAGAGCTCCAACAGACACAAATATCAAAAAAGAATGGCTGCTCACCGGACTTAAAAACAAAAAATTGTAGAGGTGGTAATAAGGGTAAAATGTTGCTTCAAAAAGAGGCCTTTTGGATACACCAGTTAAATACGGTGTCCCCTATGTGGCTCAACGAAAACAACATATCATGCTTTCCTCTAGTAGCACCTGTTTGTTACTATTAAATTTTAAGAAAATATGTCTTAAATAATTAAACATAATGTTTGACATGTGACACTTATAGATATTAAATGATAGATTATGGATATGCATCTATCTTTTTTCACACATTTTAAGTTTCAGTTGTTTTTTTTGTTGATTTTTTACACAGCACTTTATTATTAAATTGCATGAAAGCACTTTATAGTCACTGTATCCACATTTAAAATGATGTTTTCACATACCTTTGTGAATTAATCTTCACTATACTCATTTAAAATATTTTTTTTATCTCTATATTGCACTTGTCACTTTAAATCTGGAATTTGCATTATGTTTCTAGTATACACATTTGCACTTTATTTAATATATGATATTTCACCTGTCCTACTAATGTACTTGGTTTAGTATAATATTAACATCACTAAGTATCCCCCTTGTCCTTTTAAGTCTGATGTACATCGGAGGGGGCTTTGTTTACATGGTCTCCATGGTGATTGGGAGCAGTACGCATCCACCACGCCAAGACGTACAGTCGTAGGCACGGTGGGCAGGGCACGCAAGTGTGTGCGCGCGCAGATCCGGAAGCCGCAATGGTCCCGATGGATGGCGGGTGAGAGACACCTGGGTGAGTTTCTTTACTAATTATACCACTATTTAATGTTTGCCTGTATGCATAATAGATGTTGTCCTTTTATTTAGACCCTGAAGAAAGTCCCGAATGGGGACTGAAACATTGGTCGATTTTTAACATTATTCAATAATAATTTTTTGTTTTTAAATCCGGTGAGCAGCCATTCTTTTTTGATATTTGTGTCTAAGGAGCTCTGGCGCATGTACCCGGCGTGCAAGGGTTTTTTCATTTTTTATATATATATATATATATTATTGTAGCTGGTATTTTTTTTTCTTTGAAATTGTATCCATGTTATTAACCTTTCACTCCCAACAGCATATTTCCTTACTTTAGTTCAATAATCCTAATATACTTTCCTTTTTGTTCAGTCATGGATTTAATTTGTCACATTGCTGACAAACTAATATTTTAACAATTGCTCCCTTTTGTTCCTCTGCATCACACTCTAACAACGTGGTACGTCAGTAAAGAGGAGGTCTAAGAACTTTGACCTCAACAGTTGGCTGGCAGTTTTTGCTATTTCTTTTGCAGGTTGCTGCAGGTAACTATTTCAAATACTGGATACCATGCAAAATATAAAACATGCCCTCTCCACCCCCAAATATATTTTGTAAAGGATGAATGAATAAATGAAAAAAGTGATGCTCTTGCTTTATTTACTGTATCATTCAATCTTTGTAGGCTAGCAATGCCCCCAAAGTTTAAAACCAATAGTGTGCTAAAATCTTGTAATCTGGTAGTTTAGGTGTTTGTTAAATAACTTTGTATGAAATTTATACTTTATAATGCAATCCATTCCCATGTCAATCACAGTACACATTTTTCAGCATTTAATAAATTATTTAAATGGAAAAGTTGTCATTTTATTAATTAGATTAATTCAGCCCAACGTGCAACCTGCTTACAGTAAAAACACCGACATCCATGCACTGCATGTGGTGATGTATTGAATAAATTTCTTTGAAGAATAATTGATTAGTTGGACCAGCAGTAAATTAAAAGAGGAAATGAATGAGCCATGTATTAGATTAGTAACCTAAAAAAAAAGAAATGTTATGATTTAGCACATATTTAATCTAAACCATCACAGAAAATCCTAAGAACTGGAAATCCGACTCTGTATTTTTCTGGTTTTGTTCTGTGTGGAGATAATTATAATGACATAATGTAAATTCTCTAGAATAAAAATAAAGTCTTTTCACCCTCTGAGGTGCACCCACAAAAGACATCCGAGTTTTTCCTGGTTATTTAATAAGCTATAGTAAGATGATAAAGGATGCAGTTCCACATTTTTATAGATAGTTGGTAAAACCAAAAAAATACAAAATGCCATAAAAATAAACCTTTGTATGACATTTGCCTGCTGATTTAATACGATGTCACATTTTTGTACTGTTGGTAAGGTTGAAAAAATTCCAAAAACATCTATCAATTCAAACCTTTCTATGGTAATTGATTCAGATTTTGAAATACTGTATTGGTTTTGAGGGAGAGAGAATGTATACATTCTTGCTCTCTCAGTAAACGTGTTGCCAGTTTGTTTGAAATTGAGAAATGATTTTATTCTTGACCCAAGAAGTACACATTTCTCACTCTAAATTCTGCCAATGCTACGGAGCTATGGAGTCCAAAGGTCACCTATCAAAAGTATATTCAATATAGTATTATAATGTATTTTTCCACTGAGCTTTTTTATGTAATGGATCTTACGTACTTTAGCACATATTTGTATTTTAATTTAATAATGTATGTTATTGTCTAACTGAATGCATGTTATTGCCTAACCGAATGGCCCTAGTTTTCTGAAAGGTTCTCTGAACGTTTTGAACAGGCATGACATTCTACACCATAACTGGAAGAAAAGAAATATCCAGGGACACTTGAGGTTTCTTCTAAAATGCAGTCTTTTTATTTAAGGAAGTGGAGACAACGTTTTGGCTCCTCTCTAAGCCTTTGTCAAATCTTCATAAAGACTTTTTTTTCTTCCATTTGACGTCTTCAGGGATTGGCCCTGCCTTTCTGGAGCACCCTGCAGGAAGTACTCCCCCTTTTTTAGTGTGTACATTTTACACCTGTTTCTTTGCAAACAATTCTACACTATAACTTGAGTTATAACCCAAATGTAATCTCTACCAATTTCAGATAGATGTCTCATTCTGACCACAACCTTATTCGACTCTTTATTCATGGTACCAAGAACATCTGTAGCTCATCTCTGTAAAATGAATACCGTATTTTCTGGCGTATAAGATGACTGGGCGTATAAGACGACCCCCAACTTTTCCAGTTAAAATATAGAGTTTGGGATATACTCGCCGTATAAGACTACCCCTAAATTAGCCATGATGTACAGTGAGCAGACAGAGCTACACCTCAAGACATTAAATAATGATAATTTGAAATAGCATTTAAAGCCTAGGTATGTGCCAGGCTGTTTCGGCATATAATCAATGCCTGCTGGTCTAGCACACAGGAGGCTAATTGAGATATATGTGCATACTGCCAATTCTTAACCCTTTATTCTGCTGTGACTACCGTATTTTAAACCTGGCTGGACTCGGCTACCTGGATTTGGGGAATTTATGGGGCGCATGGGGCAAACACTACCAAGGCTGGGCGAAATGGGGCAAACACTATACCAGCTTGTTGGCATTGTGGAAAGTGCACTCATGATGTGTGGCATGGAGCATACACTATATAGAATGTTCTTCTTACTACTCCCCTTCCCTCCCTGTGTCCTTCTTACTCCCCCTCCCTCCCTGTGTCTTTCTTACTCCCCCTCCCTCCCTATGTTCCTTTTACTCACCCCCTCCGTTCTTTTTACTTTCTTTTTACTACCCCCAATCCTCCCTACGTTCTTCTCACCTCCCCTTCCCTGTGTAGCTTGGGTGGCCGAGCTCCTCTTCATCCTGTCAGTCCGGCCGGGTACCGCACGGTACAGGAGATTCAGTTACCTGTTCCTGGCCGGACTGACAGGAAGTGCACACTGAGTGCTCATTTCCTTTCAGTCCGGCTGGAAACAGGTAACTGAATCTCCTGTACCGTGCGGTATCCGGCTGGACTGACAGGACAAAGAGGAGCTCGGCCACCCATGCTACACAGGGAGGGGAGGTTAGGAGAGAGGCAGGGCTGCAGCCGCCTGAGGCTCTCTATAGAGCGCTCAGGCAGCTGCAGCATTAGAAGGGCCGGTGATGGGGGCGCAGGGCGCCCCCTCCTATATGGTGCCCTAGGCAGCCATACAGACAACCCTCAACTTTTAGGAAACCCTATACCCGGCGTATAAGAAGACCCCCGACTTTTGAGAAGATTTTCCAGGGTTAAAAAGTCATCTTATACGCCGGAAAATACGGTACTTTTACTGGGCAGACTACAAGGTTTATTTTGCTGAAGCCTAAACAGTTCTTCTGATCTGAGCATAATATCTCTTATATTTGTCCTGATCCTGCATTGAAGATTTGCCTTGAGATGACCTTAAATTTACCTGAGATACAATAAAAAGATAATTTCTATACCAATGGCCAAAACCCCCATTTGGCTAGTCACTCATCAGTATTGAGTCATTCCATTCTCTCTATTTTGCTTAGTTTTTCTTTGAAATATTTAAATTTTCATTGTATTTTTGGGAATCACATATTAACACTGTACTGTATTTTGAGATCTAATGTTGCTTGTTCTTGTTGTGATGACCTTTTAATGTATGATAATGTTTTGTTTTCTATTATAATTGCATCAAGGTATTGTGTACTGCTGTCATAATTGGACGTCAACTTGGAAAGTAATCTATATGATTGTTTGGCACAAATTTGTTATCCAACACATATTTAATAGCATTTAAACCATCACAGCCTGTTATGAAGAATTCTCAAGTGGAAAATAATGGTTTGTTGTAATGTATCTCAAGCTGTAGCTAGTGTTAATTTACATAAATCTAAAAGTTTGAGCTACATTAAAATAAAATCCACAAAAATCATTCCCTTTAAACTCCCAAGTATTTTTCCAAACCATCAATTTTATTGGGCATGAAAAGTCAATGTAAGTTATGTAATATAATGTAAATTAACCTATAATACTCCACCATGCAAATTTAAAAAAGCACAAAAATGCTGTTTAATAGATATACCTCCAGTGAAATCATATTTTCACTTAATTATGCATTTTTTCATTAGGGGCATATCTAAAAACTTCTAAAAACTGTAGATATCTTCTCTAAAGCCATTGCAGGCCCTCCTTTTGTAAAACAGTCAGACTTTCTGTGGCTGTCCAATCACAGACTTCCCAGTGCAGCTTAATTATAAGTTTTCAAAAGGCAAGTGCTCAGGGCTATCGCCTGTTTCTTGAGTTTAGCTCCACTGATCTCAATAACCAGGAAGAAGCAGGACCAGTTGCCTGATTGACAGCCAGGGGGTGTAACAAGTTTAATTTATAAAAGTACCAGTTGAAATCTACACTTTCTGTAAAGTTAGAAAAGGACACACTCTTCACACCTAAAGCACGTCAGCAAGCTGTACACTTCAGTACATGCTTCCTCCCCTTCAGGACTTTTATCCATCTCTACCCAAAACAAAAATATATATTTTTTAAAATTTGTCCTTTTCTCTTTCTTTCTTCTTTTTCACTCTTCAACTTCCTTTCTTCTTTTCTCAAATATTCCCATTCCTGCAGCCCCTAGACCAGTTAAACATTTTTTGGCACGTGGTTATATGATTACACCTGCAACAATGTATTATTTTAAAGTTTTTCTTAATTTGGTTCGATTACAGGTTTTATGTTTCTTATTTCTTAAGGAATGCTGTGCTTAAAGGACCACTATAGTGCCAGGAAAACATACTTGTTTTCCTGTCACTATAGTGCCCTGAGGGTGCCCCCACCCTCAGGGTCCCCCTCCCGCCGGGCTCTAGGGTGAGGAAGGGGTTAAACTTACCTCTTTCTCCAGCGCTGGGCGGGGAGCTCTCCTCCTCCTCTCCTCCTCTTCGGCTGAATGCGCATGCGCG